TCCACAATGAAAAAAGTATGGACACTTTTATAAAAAGGATAGATACTTTACAACTACCTATTACATTATATAAACGATACATATTACATTATATAAGCGCTACCTATTACATCATATTTTTACCTATTATATTGAAAGTGTCCATACTTTTATAAAAAGGATCGATACTTACGAAGTATCGACACTTTCATATATCCGGTATCATTTTACCGGTTTTATCATTTTGATACCGGTTTTATCATATTTTTACATGTTATATCGTTGTGGATCGATATTTTTTTTAAAGTATCGACACATTATAAGCGCTAAAACTGCTTCTCTTTTAAATTCACAAATGTCGATCCTTATATAAAGTATAGACACTTTCAATATATCCGGTAACGTTTTACCGGTTTTATCATTTTGTTACCGGTTTTATCATATTTTACCTGGTATATCATTTTAATATTTCTTCATGACTTAGACCTACTTTTATACGTATGGACACTTTTATAAAATGATATATACTTTTTATAAAGTTATGTAATTTATGTTTCAATTTTTTTTAATAGTGTTTCATGTTTTCCACCTACAATATTAATTAATAATTTCATTTACACAAAAAATTATTTGATTTTTTGATTTTTATAAAATATTATTTAGAATTTAAATTTAACAATATTAACCAAAGATAATAATAAATATGTTTTCCACAGTGAAATAAGTATACCCGGTAACGTTTTAAATATGTATATATATGTTTATTGTTTTTAATTTAATAATATATATATCGTAACGTAAAAAATAAATCATTAGACGCCTATAATTACTAAATTAATATCTTAAAACTCACTCAAAAGATAACCTTAAATTAATGTTTTCCACAATGAAAAAGGTATGTACACTTTTATAAAAAGGATAGATACTTTACAACTACCTATTACATTATATAAACGATACCTATTACATTATATAAGCGCTACCTATTACATTATATTTTACCTATTATATTGAAAGTGTCCATACTTTTTATAAAAAGGATCGATACTTTTTTTAAAGTTATGTAATTTATGTTTCAATTTTTTTTAATAGTGTTTCATGTTTCCACCTACAATATTAATTTAATAATTTCATTTACACAAAAAATTATTTGATTGTTTTGATATTTTATAAAATAATATTTAGAATTTAAATTTAACAATATTAACCAATGATAATAATAAATATGTAATATATATGTTTATTGTTTTTAATTTAATAATAATATATCATAAAGTAAAAAATAAATCATTAGACGCCTATAGTTACTAAATTAATATCTTAAAACTCACTCAAAAGATAACCTTAAATTAATGTTTTCCACAATGAAAAAGTATGGACACTTTTATAAAAAGGATAGATACTTTACAACTACCTATTACATTATATAAACGATACATATACATTATATAAGCGCTACCTATTACATATTTTTACCTATTATATTGAAAGTGTCCATACTTTTTATAAAAATGATCGATACTTTTTTTAAAGTTATGTAATTTATATTTCAATTTTTTTTAATAGTGTTCATGTTTTCCACCTACAATATTAATTTAATAATTTCATTTACACAAAAATTATTTGATTGTTTTGATATTTTATAAAATAATATTTAGAATTTAAATTTAACAATATTAACCAATGATAATAATAAATATGTAATATATATGTTTATTGTTTTTAATTTAATAATAATATATATCATAACGTAAAAAATAAATTATTAGACGCCTATAGTTACTAAATTAATATCTTAAAACTCACTCAAAAGATAACCTTAAATTAATGTTTTCCACAATGAAAAAAGTATGGACACTTTTATAAAAGGATAGATACTTTACAACTACCTATTACATTATATAAACGATACATATTACATTATAAGCGCTACCTATTACATCATTTTTTTACCTATTATATTGAAAGTGTCCATACTTTTTATAAAAAGGATCGATACATTTTGAAGCAATTGGACTACACATATTTACCCGAGACTTTGATTCAAAGTAGGTGGACTAATGATGCGAAGGCTTCTGCACCCAACTATGTTGATTTGAATGTGTCTCCAGAAGTGATATTTTTCCTATAATATCATTTTCTACCTATAATATTTAATAAAAGTATCGACATTTATATTTTTCATTGAATATCACTTTCTACCTGCAATCGTTCCCAAATGCTTCTTTACTACAAAACCCCAAACAACACATAAAAACCCTATCGCGATTACTGTAATAATAAAAAATTAGGGTTTCGACAACATACTTTTGATTCGACTGCAGCAACAAACAAATAAACTTCGCTTTAGAAACGCCTTCTGAAATGCAGCAACAATTACGCTTCGCTTTCAAAAACTCGTCCGTTCTATCTATTTTCAGAGGAGATTTAGCTTATATTTTGATCGGATATGTTATTTATATTTAATCGATACAAATACAAAAGTGTCGATACTTTTATGTCAGGTGTCGATACTTTCGAAAGGATAATTACCTATTTCTTTGAAAGTGTCGATAATTTATTACACGTACTTACGAAAGTATCGACACTTTCAATATATCCGGTATCATTTTACCGGTTTTATCATTTTGATACCGGTTTTATCATATTTTTACTTGTTATATCGTTGTGGATCGATATATTTTTTTAAAGTATCGACACATTATAAGCGCTAAAACTGCTTCTCTTTTAAATTCACAAAGTGTCGATCCTATATAAAGTATCGACACTTTCAATATATACGGTAACGTTTATCGGTTTTATCATTTTGTTACCGGTTTTATCATATTTTACCTGATATATCGTTTTAATATTTCTTCATGACTTAGACCTACTTTTATACGTATGGACACTTTTATAAAAATGATATATACTTTTTTTAAAGTTATGTAATTTATGTTTCAATTTTTTTTAATAGTGTTTCATGTTTTTCACTTACAATATTAATTTAATAATTTCATTTACACAAAAAATTATTGATTAATTGATATTTATAAAATATTATTTAGAATTTAAATTTAACAATATTAACCAAAGATAATAATAAATATGTTTTCCACAGTAAAATGAGTATGAACACTTTTATAAAAATGATATATATTTTTTAAGTTATGTAATTTATGTTTCAATTTTTTTTAATAGTGTTTCATGTTTTCCACCTACAATATTAATTTAATAATTTCATTTACACAAAAAATTATTTGATTATTTGATATTTTATAAATATTATTTAGAATTTAAATTTAACAATATTAACAAAAGATAATAATAAATATGTTTTCCACAGTGAAATAAGTATGAACACTTTTATAAAAATGATATATACTTTTTTTAAAGTTATGTAATTTATGTTTCAATTTTTTTTAATAGTGTTTCATGTTTTCCACCTACAATATTAATTTAATAATTTCATTTACACAAAAAATTATTTGATTATTTGATATTTTATAAAATTATTTAGAATTTAAATTTAACAATATTAACAAAAGATAATAATAAATATGTTTTCCTTAGTGAAATAAGTATGAACACTTTTATAAAAATGATATATACTTTTTTTAAAGTTATGTAATTTATGTTTCAATTTTTTTTAATAGTGTTTCATGTTTTCCACCTACAATATTAATTTAATAATTTCATTTACACACAAAATTATTTGATTGTTTTGATATTTTATAAAATATTATTTAGAATTTAAATTTAACAATATTAACCAAAGATAATAATAAATATATTTTCACAGTGAAATAAGTATGTACACTTTTATAAAAAGGATAGATACTTTACAATATAACAGGTAAAAATATGACAAAACCAGATTCATTATGACAAAACCGGTAAAATTTACTTGATATGTTAAAAGTATGGACACTTTTATAAAAAGGATAGATACTTACCGATAACCAAAGTTTACCGGTTACCAAAGTTTTAATAGTTTTTCATATTTTATACCTAAAACATTATTAGTTGTCAACATAATAGGTACCGCTAAACCGAATTTATTAAATACATTTTAATGTATTCGGTACTGCCGTATATTAGCCTTATATTAACCCGCCTTTCCTGAGACAATCCCAATATTTAAAGCCAGAAATTCTCTTTAACTTTCATTTCAAATCTATTATTTAAAGAGATATATATAAAATAAAGTAATTAATGCCACATATCTTACGACCAAAGTTGAAGCTTCAATAAATTTTTTTGTTTAGCCAAATTCATTTAAATTTACACCAAAAGATCATTTAAAATAACTTTTTAATTTCACGCATTTAAATTTATTTAATAATATTTTATAATTCATTTAATATAATTTTTTTCGTGTGAATTGGGCACAAATAAAACTTTTAAATAAACACCATCAATAACATAAATAAAAGGAATTTAATCCCAAGATGATACTTTTCCACCTTGAACCACACTTATATCTAACATGGTTTGTAATTTGGGGTGAACATTTAAACGAGTTGAATCAGAGTCAAAAGAACTTTAAGTTATTTGATGAGTCTTATTTTATAACTCAAAATTGATTTAAAAATATTTTGAATCAAATTTATAAAATTCGAGTTAAGTCAAATTTTTGAGTTTTAATTTAAATTTAATTGTAAAAAATTATAATATTATGATATTATTCAATTATAATTTAAATGATTTTTTATAACCATATATATATATATATATTTTTTTTTCATTTTTATATGTGATATACATATATTATACACGGTATAGAGACTCGACTCAAACTTAAAAATTAATCTATTAATTATTAAAAATTTTGAATTAGTATTCGAGTTATATATTACAACTCGATTTGAATTTAAAATCTTTTTGAATCGAGTTAATGAAATTATAACTCAAAATCAACTCTTGTTGAGTCATAAAATTCATTTTTTTTAGTCGAGTCAAGTTTGATTGTACTCTACTTGTAATCCCTCACACTGAAAAAACAACACGTAACAGTGATAAGCTGCTTTTAATACAAGAACAAAAGGAAATGGAACAATAATTGCAGGTATAACGATATTTTCTTTCTTTTTCATTGAAATCATGAAGAAGAACAAAGGGTTTCTGGTTTGCAAGGATTCATGCCGGTTAAATTAGACGAAGTGATTGAAGTGAAAGTTGAAAACTGGTGTTTTGTTTATGACATTTAACGTTGGTGCTGACTAGAGAGAGAGAGAGAGAGAGAGAAGTGTCAGTAGGCCATGTTTTCCACCATCACTTGCCTTAAATGAGAAAATATTGTTCAGCTCAACACTTTTCAAGGGAAACATAGTAACCCTCTTCATTTCATTTTATATTTTCCCCCCGATCTTCATCTCTTTCCTTCGTTTGCTCCTTTGAAACTGTGCAAAGTTTTTCAAGAATGTTACTTTGGTGGGATTTCTTTGATTTTATTGATGAAAAAAATGGAGAAAGAAGAAAAAACATTGACAAAGGAACATGATGTTGGAGATGCTGCTTCAAGACAAGGAAGAGTTATTGTCCCTATTCAACAGGTATGTTTTTTTTATGAACAAATGATTGTTCCGAGTTCTTGGGTGTTTTGAAAAAGTTTTTATATTTTACTTTCTTTTGCATGTTTTGGCTCTATCTCTATGCCAAACCATGAGTTTCTGGTTAATGTTTAATTTGTGTTTTTCATTGAATATTATTCGATCTTTATTTGATAACATTTTCAGCTAGAGTATCCATCAGGAATTTAAATTGTGCTCGATCTCGGACATAACGAATGCTATTTCTGCCAGTCGTGATTTTTTTAAAGAGTTGATTTTTTAAAAAAGAGCTGACCTTTTTTTCTTAAATAATTAGAATAGCAGAACAATCAGGGAATAGTGGCTGCAATTGGCCGTTACCTGTTAAATTGCAGCCGTAATCCACCGTTATTAGTGTGATTCCACTTCACAATGCTAGTTTCCGCAATAGCGGTTTCTATACAGTGGCTGCTATTTGAATTCCTGGTATCCATTGATGGAAATTTGCAGTAATGCAAATCAACTGGTCTAATTCATCTAAGATGCAGATCATGCATGTCCACTTGATGTAAAGATTATGATCCAGGCTGTTTTTCATGGCACCTTATTCTCATGAGCATAATTAACCACAAATTAATTAGCTTCACTCTGGGGGATCTGAACTGTGTTACTGATTATTTGCTGTTTAAAGCCAATTTAGAAGTCCACAATTAATTCCAGAACCAGTTCATCTTCATCTGAACAGGATCTAAATTATGGTTGTAGCCGCATTTTTCGGTTGCCTTTATTGCGGATTGCGGACATAGCTGATGCTATCGCGGGTATTGTTATCATGCAATAACAGGACCACTATTTAAATTTCATTCAGTAGGACTGCCTTAGTAATTGTGAAGTATTTATCAGCCAATATTTGTTCATCATTGTATATTTGCTTGCATAATGATGAACTGTTCTTGTTTAAGGTTGAAGATTCGGCAGGAATAACCGAGGAAACGACGGATGCTCGTAACTCGAAGCAAAGCGATCTCTTTCTCGAGATACCCTCGAGAACTCTGGATGATTCCTCTCAAGAGTCCGTCACAATTAAGATGCCTCAAACACCTAGTTTGACTCCCAGGAAAGTGAATTTTCTCTTGACACCGATTCCATCTGATGCACGGATTAATGGATCCTCAGGTCCCTCGTCATCAAAAGGCAAAACATTGAAGAGTCTCTTACCGAAACTAAGCTTCAAGCACAGAACTATAAGTTCAGATATTGAAAAGGCTGCGAACGTTGCTCCTGAATCTTCTTGTACTTCTATAAGAGAGAAGCCTTCCATCTCAAGGACACTGTCACTTACAAAGATATTTATTCCTAGGATAAATAGGACATCATCATTGCCTGTAACTCAAACCGCACATTAAAACCTGGAATCCATAAGCGGGGGAAGCCTAGGTGGCTCTGTAAGTTTCTTAATATTTTTTCTCGACATTGTGACTATAATTTTATTTGATTTGATAGGAATCACATCCATCATGGAGGTGCCTGATTTTTTTCTGTTTTATTTCTGTAGTGGATTTTATATGGTTAGCCTTTTAATACGTTTTGGTTGAGCATGGACTTGACATGGTTGCTTTCACAGGTTTTGGTTCGGTTGGTGGGAGGCGATGATCATGTATATCCCAATTTTTGGATGTAATGCAATGGTTGACTGATAGTAATTTGCTGGAAATGATTGTGGATAAATTAAGTCCATCTGGTTTAGGGTTTAGGTTCATGCTAATGCATCAGAAACATTATGTGCAATAACACGGAATGCCCCATCAGCTTTGGCCACTAAACTCTCTAGTCCAAGGTTTGTGAGATTTAGTTTTTGTGTTCCCTCCCTATTTGTATCACCATTTCAATTTCTACTTATTTTATGTTTTAGACTTGACCTGTAATTTTTGGACATGTTCATATACAGCTTTATTGCAAGGATATTTGGTCGTGCATTGGAAGATTCACATTCAAAATCTGGCCTTATACACTCACTCTCAGTTTGTATCTCATTGTTGGATCCCAAAAGATCAGCAATTGTCTCTCCATTGATGCATTCTTTCCAACACCAACATATGTATGCGCCTCCAATCCCTGTGAATTCAGAGAGTATCAATGCAATATTGCCTAAGCTTGGTGAGCTGGTTTATTTTGCTAAAAGTTGAATGTAATAGTTTTTGTATATTCCTAGGTGCATGGAACATGTTGGCTTTTATCTTAGCCATGGTGTTCAAGACTGTTTGTTTGTGCAGGTGACCTACTCGTGCTTTTGAATGTTTCCTCTGATGAGAAAATTTTGCCTACCACATATGGAGAATTGAGACCGCCTCTTGGGAAGCATCGTCTAAAGGTTTATTTTATGTTCTCATCATAACTTTTATATGCCAACTAGCATGGAATATTCAACCTGACACCTATTTGATTATTTTTGGTGTTTGTCATGACTATCAAACTTTGTAGGGCAGGAGCAAATGTCACAATTTGTTGTTATTTCTGAATTTTTTCCCTTTTATTTCAGATAGTGGAGTTCATTTCTGTGCTGTTGAGAAATGGAAATGAAGCTGCAGGGAAGGAATTGGTCAGCTCAGGAACCATTTACGAGTTCTTGATCTTTTCTTTGAGTCAGCTCTTGCTTAAAACTTTCTTGAATTTAGTTAGAAACTTATTGGTGTTTGAATATAGAACATAGTGCGTGATACCTTCCTCAGGTAGGTGTTGGATTTTTTTTTTCTCCTGTCAGCAGGCTAAGATTGATCGTCTCTTTCTTTCAAATTATGCAGGAACCCGTACAACAATGCATTACACCATCATGTGGAGAATATAATATTATATTGCCTTGAAAGCAAGAATGATGCAATAGTTGGACATCTTCTTCAAGAATGTGATTTGATTGGAAAATTTCTTCAAACTGACAAAAATCCTACTCTGTATGGTAGCGGTAATCAGGTAGATAATAATTATACTATTTTTCCATTTTGCTATCAGCTGTTATAACTAATAATCAGAAGCTGTTATAAAGCTACATGATTATGCAGTCAGCTTAACCCTTATCTGGTCAAACAGCCAACTTTACCTGCTGCTGGAAAATTTGCTTCTCGTGTAGGAAACATTGGACATATTACACGCATTTCCAATAAAATTTTACAGTTCGGAAGTAACAACAGCCCTATTAAAGCAAGTCTACAGGTGGGTAATTGTATGCTTGCTAATGTTTTATGACTACTTCTGTTAGGATCTTATAGGATGTAGGCACATTTTTTATTTAAGCTCACAACTTTTGCTATAATCAAACTTAGAGTATGAATCTTTCTGTGGTGTGGTAAATCTGAATTAAGCTCTATTATTGTGTTATTTGGCACACTGGTCGTATATTTCATTGGCTAGAATTGCAAGGTTGAATTATTTGACTTATTCTTTTTGTGATTTGCTGATACATTTTTGTAAATTTCTTTACAGGAAAATAGCGAATTGAATGAGTGCCAAGCTAATGTTCTAAAAGAACGCAATGAGGTTGAAAATGTTTATCGATGGGCTTGTGGGTATGTACTTCCTTCATTTCTGATAGGCATTTCAGTTTGATTAGTTGGGTTTTTCTTTGGTCGAATATTTCTAGATTCAGTGTTGGTTGGTATGGCATTTGTGAGAGTTCTTTCACTCACAGGCTCTCTATATGATCTTTTGACAGATTTTTAACTTATAAAATGAGATGTAAAATGTGTCTTCTAGTTCTCATGCTTATTTATGGCTTTCTTGTGTCATTTACTTCCTACTATTGTGAAGATTCTAATGGTATTTCCAATTTTTGAATCCATTTATTGTTGTTAGCATATTTTTGCTAGTTGCAGCAATGACAGAATTGTGAGATATAACAGAAAAATCATTTAAAGTCGTGTATTTTCTTTCTCCTCTCCAGCCGCTCAACAGCATTCGAAGATAGAACAAGGGATAGCGACGAGGATGATCTTCATGATAGAGATTATGATGTTGCAGCAGCTTTAGCGAACAATCTAAGCCAGGCTTTCAGCTACAAAATATATGGCGGCAATGATGATAATGAAGAAGTTTGTATTTTGCTTCTCATGACAATTTATTGAATTCTATCTTCTAATTTTTGTTGTTTAATTGCTTTCAGGACCATGTTGCTCTAGATCGAGACGATAAGGTAAGTGACTCTGGTTTCTGTTTATTCATTTAGAATCTTTCTTTGTGGTTCTATATGAGGCCAAGAGGATTTTTTTTCTTCTGAGTGGCTTCTATTGTCTGTTAAAAAGACGACAATGGTAAACATGACCTAAGGCTATTTGTTAAGATCAGCATGAGTTTGGAGAAACCAAACAAGGTAGCCATTTTTTGGGTCATTTTTAGTGTCAACTTGTAGGCAAATGTATGTTTCCAATTTGCAGGATGTGTACTTTGATGATGAATCTGCTGAGGTTGTCATATCCTCCTTGAGGCTCAGTGATGACCAAGGGAGGTGAGTTTTCCTGTCATTACTCGTAGTAATGGAGTCATTTGGCTGATGAATGTTGTGCAAGTAGCCTTAGCTTCATCATTATCATGCGGTTCAATTCTTTTGTTGAAGTAGCTATATTAATGGAGATTACACCCCATGTTTTTCTAATAGTCTGTTCACAAATTCGAACTGGTTTGCGTTCCAAGATGAAAAAATCGGGGATGGAACTATGGCTGCTTCCTCCACAGAGGCAATGAATGAGATTAACTTAAATGGCTCCACAAATGGTGGTAACAGCAGTAGTGATGATGAGGTGGTAGTTGGAGAGGAGGATGAGTTAATGAAAGCAAACAGTTGATGAACGGCACGTCTACCTCCAATGCGATGAATGGATTTAACAATTCCATGAGTGGTGGAGACTTGAATCCGCAAGGGAAAAACACAAATTCTTCTAACGATATGGGATTCTTCGGGTTTGATTCAAAGGACTTGTTTGGAGATAGGCCTTTACCTGAGTGGGTGGGGTGGGGAGAACCTTCAGAGGTCCGTGTTGGTGGTTCAAGCAAGAACCCATTTCTCGACATGACAGCTCAGATGTCAACCTACCAAGAAATAAAGAGACAGCAGTCTCCTCAAATGGGGAATCCATGCATGAAAATGGTTCTTCAGACTATATGGGTATGAGTGACGGATCTACAAGCAGTGTTACAAGTCAGAAATCTCCACCACCAGTGCTCTCTTTATCTGAAGAGGATGTTGAGTTTGTGGGCGTGGAATTAGAAGGCACGGAGAAGGCAATGGAACATGCCTTGAAAGAAGGAATAGTTGGGGAAGCAGGACCATTGAAGAGGAACATCATTCCTAAGGTAGCCGAAAAGGAGAATTCCGACGAAGTCGGTGCTGGGATAAAGGAGTTCAATGACGGAAACTATTGGAGGGTTGATCAAGAGGTTGCTGTTTCGGAGTAATGCTGGTCAGACACATTAGTAGTTGAACATGGAAGTTGGATCTAAGATCGACATTGCGGATGTCGGCAAGTACAGAAGCATCGAAGTTGTTATGTACATTATAATTTTGTTTCCAGATGGTATTGAAACGGTAGGCTGTGGTATTTGGCTAATTACTTGTTTTCTAATCAAGGTTTTGTTTCTTCCCCGTGACCGACATATCTCAAATCAAATATTTTGATGGCTGTAATACTCGTATGGTCTCTCTCTTCAAATTTATCCCTTTCTCCCACATTTTAAACCCTTTTTAACATTTACAAGGATAAGATCTTTGCTTTCGTCATTTCTTGACATCTTTTCTTACATTCTGTACCCAGTTCCAAAGAATTTCATTATTTCTAGAGGGAGTAGACTTATAAATTTTTATGGAAGAAAATAGATTATCCAAAGATAATTTAAAAATTTTAAGAGGTAGTTGTATTCACTTGTCATTCGACCCATCCCTGATTTTGGCACATGAATTTTCAGCGTCAATGTCACCAATTCTTCATTGCATGTTTGAAACCTTTTCTTGGTTGATTGTCACATACTCCCATTTATCCTTTTTTTTCTTTTATCGTCTTCATCATCATCGTCTATTCTGACTATGCCCATACCGTAAAGTGGATCAAATTTATTATCATTTTCTTTTTCAAATAGAGTTTTCCCTGTTTCTGACCATGATCGATCTCCAAACCCACTACACAATATCAACATATTTATAACTTTATTTCCATCACTTGGATTTTCTCATGCAACCTTAGCCGCCTTCCATTTTTTTTTGTTAAACAACTCGGACGAAAAAAATTAAAATATGAAAAATTATGTTGAAATTTAAGCCATTTATTATGGTACATGATCATATGATGAGTTCCATATAATTGTTTTTTACATTCATATGACAAGTTTTATTTTTTAATATATTTTATAAAACTCGTCACTCTCTTATGAGTCGTGACAAATTCTACAAATACTGTAACAAAATGATATAAATCTCAAAATAATTTTAAAACTCTTCGGTTTTAAAAAATATATCACCAACATTCAGACCTTTTGTTTATTGTCATATTTTATTGACATCTTCTCAGAGAAGATTCGCACCAATATGCACCCCTTTTCTTCTACAGTTTGGGCATTTGTGTCACCCACGAGGTATAATCTTGTCATACATACTTTTAAAAATAAAATTTGATTTAGGTATATAAACATCTCTCACGTACAGATCCCACTAATGTGAGATATAAGCTTTCTATTTATCACTCAACACAATACACAAGTAATTTACTTTGAACATCAACTTTTTTATTTATCACTCAATCATTTTGAACATATGATTTATAAAGGTCTCATGAAGTAGAATACAAAATAATAATTTTATGATTCAAATGTCCACCTTTATCTATTAAAAATATACCTCAAAATTTTTATAAATCTATTTTTTTCCAATAATATTTTCGTTAATGTGCCTTTCACCTCCCTAGCCCCCATTATTTTCCTTAGAGAAAGTAACATATATGTAATTTTTCTTTTGTGTACACAACCTAATAAACTAGTCATAATTTTTCCAAGAGCAAGTGGGGGGACAAAAGGGTAGAAGAAGAGGGCAGCAAGTTAAGGACTCGGCCATTAAAACGGCGACGGCAAAGTGGCCACACGTGGGGCATTTGATCCCTCTGTGATTTGGATTTTTCTTTCAATCATAATATTTTTTAAGATAAATTTTGTATTTAGTCACTTAATTATTCGAATATTTTCGTTTTGGTCACTTAGTTATTATTTTTAAAATCATATATAATGTGACATTTTGATTTCATTTTGGTCATCCATGATTAAAATATTAATGGAACTGCTAACGTGATGTTTTTTTATTTTTTTCCAATGATGACACGACATTACCTTATGATGACACATCAACATCACTGTTAATTTTTTAACCATGAGTTACCAAAATGTAACGTTTGGTATGATTTTGAGAAAAAAATAGTTGGACGACCAAAATAAAACCATATAAATAGTTAGATGACTCAATATGTAGTTTACCTTATTTTTTAGCCTATTGACAATGTGGAAACACACTGGAAACCAGTTGTTCAAATCTGAATATTTTAGGGAGAATAATATTTGCTCTTATCACTGATATCACTCAATGATTCTCTCATATCGTAACATTAAAATCAGAGACCAATCTATTCAACAGTTGGAAGGAGTTATTGTCCCTCCCAAAATTTTTGGTATAATTATATTTTAAGTTTTTTTTTAATTTAAATATTAGTCTCTTAATTTTAAATTTAAATATTTAAAGTATCATTATTCTTTTGATATAAAAGAATTTTATCTCTTCAACATTTTCTCTCAGCTCTGTCCACGATTAAAATATAATTTTCGGATTTGAAGTGTATATATTTGTTTAAATAAAGTTCACAAAATTCAGAGATTTTAAAACTTGAACCAGACAGACCACAGCCAGGTTGGAAGTCAAACTGTTGCTTCCATGTTTCCTGTGTTTTATGATCCCAATTCTTATTTTCCTCACACGAAGATCCCAATGTTTTTGTCAACAATCGTAATGGTTACATCATGCAATTTTATTGACATTTTCCAAATTTTGTATTACTTATTACGCGGATGATTTTCGATTTTTTAATCAAATAATTCATGCAGAATTAAAAAAAATTAAGAGAATTCATCAGTCATTAAAGAAATTTATAACTTAGGACGCCTATTACAGTGGAGAATAAACTCATCATTCTAACACGATGAGTTTTAATAAAAATATTATTTAAAAGAAATCATCGTTCTAGCAAGACGAGTTCCAAAGAGATTTTCACCGGAACTCGTCTTCGACCGATGCATATAGAAAAGTTTTCAAATATATACACATTCCATATTTATCTAAATTTGTTTCAATTGCATCATAAGGCATATGTGCAAAACATGCACCAACAGATTATTTAGCAATTAAACTTTTGCATGGATAGAAGAGTAACGAGCAAGAACATAAAAATCATAAAACATTCAGCAGATTACAAGACATCAATGTTCTGTATTCATTTCCGAAACAAAAATGCGATCCCTCGGACAAGAAACCTATATATTACAGACATGCCCTAAAAGGAGATAAAACAAGGTCTTTTATATTGTCCTATGGATTCTAGAAATATCTCACGCATGCTTATCGACAATGGCTGTTTAGAATCATGCAAATATGCTCAAGGGACCTCTCTTATTTGGACCTTCTAGTCCATTTTCAGCAGTCTGCAGTACCCTGAGCCGTGACCTGGAAACACGAGTTATCAAGTTTCGTAAGAGCAAGTTGCGAGATGGTGTTCGTTTGAAACTCGTTCATGGAAAATGAAGAATGTTCAAGTTACCTTCCAACATTTTCGTTGCCTGAATCCATCCTTATTGTCAATCTTTTGGCTGTCTTCATAAAAGCACTGCAATACCAAAGAGACGGGGAAAATTGTATCAAATTAATATAAACATGAAGGTAACTGCTGTAAAAACCAGGAATTTAGATGTTTCAGTTTCACTGTTCTCGTACGGTAAGATTGGGAGACCGAAAATAAAGATGGGAGTTTCTAAATCAATACCTGAATGGTTCGTCTCCAATTTGTTTGAAAGCACCGGTAGCATCTTGGTACAACACATGGCCTAAGATCTCTGACCTTTCTACTCCAAACATGTTGGCCAACTTCCAGTATAGCTCTTCATATGAACCAAGAACCGAGAGGTCAAGGGTTCGTCCCAAATCGTCTGACTCTGAGAATACCTTGCAATGACCAGTATCCAGGCAGACTTCTGTGGTCCGGTAGTCCCGGTTCCACAAAAATCCAACAGTTGATGACTTCTCTGGAGAAGATTGATTCACAAGTGCAGATCCTGAACCATCAGACGAATCCTTTGTTTTGTCTGAAATACCATCGAATGAACTCTTTTTGGTGATAACTTGTGAGACAGTTTCACTTGAGAGCTGTTGCTCGGTAAGTATTAACTGACCAAAGAGTAAAAACTGGTGTTGTTTTCCATTACCAGATTTCTCCTTCTGACTCGAATTCCCCATTGTTAACAAGCAAGACAGATTATCTTTATTGTTTGTGCGCCTTGCCATCATGATGCCATCAGAAATTCTAGTGCATGGATCAAACCGTTGAAGACCGGGCAGAAACAGTCCTGACTGCAGCTTGTTATTGATATGGAGATCTGATGAAGATAATTCATATTGAGCATGCCTGGCTCCCTGTATGCCTGCAGGAACATTGTCAGTAAAAGAACGCAATGGGCTGGTTGGTGCAAGGGGATTTCCCGAAAATAACGGCATTGAAAATTGTCCGTCAAGGGGAAAGTCTAGGTGGTTGGGGATTCGGAGTTTCTTTCTGGGTGGTGAGAAGGGTGACAGGCCGATGTCAGGCATGTTTGACGCCAATTCAACCAACCAGGGACTCACACGCTTAACGTTTTGAAGTAAATCTGGTTCATCCCACATAACCTGCCATAGCAATTATCAAATAAAGGAGCGCTACTAAAAGGAGAACCAACATCGTTGCCCTTGCATCACTTCATTAATCACGAAAGCATTTTACAAACCCGAACAAGTTAACTATTCTAATGCTGTTGTCGAGAAAGAGAGCTCAGGGTTGTTCTAAAACGTATAATCTAAAGATTAAAGAGATATGGGGATTAGTCCATGTAATTAGAACAATCCAACAGCCTAAATGGCCAAGAACATACATGACCAAGGGGCAAATATGAACTATCCTCATAAAAGAGAAAAAGCTATGAATAAAATCACTAAATCATGCCATTTGTTAGCAACAGCTACGACTGGATCGAATAAGAAAATGCACCAGAAACAACAAAATTGCTAAACCTAAATATCGCATAGAAAGGGTAAAAAAATACAGTTGCAAGTTCCCTTGGGATGAACCCTACAATTATGTCAATCCAAGGAGTAAAATCTGATGAATCCTACAATTATGTCAGCATTCAGGGCCACAATCCAAGCAAATATCATATACCAGAAACAAAGTATTCACAGAACCATAATGTTCGAAAGGTGAAAAGTAATTGAATTGAAAAGAACCAGTGCAACAACGAGTGAACTCGGATTTGGTTAGGGAGAGTTGAATGCCAAGAATAATTGCTGCGCGGCAAATATGTTCTAGGATAAAAGTTGGTGAATTCAACTAAACTAAATCCATTGCTAAGGACCCTATTGATGCTACAAGACAACATAGTTAAAGGGAAGAAATTAAGGCTAATTCAGCAAAGATATATATAACCTGGAGAAGGAGCCAAGGGGAATTAGGCCATCGGAGGGGATCCGAAACTTGAACCGAAGAGACAGTCCCCATGAACCAGCTAATCCTAGAAGAATTCTCCGTATCAAAAGCCATCTTGAACCTCATCCCACAACACCAACGAGTCCTCATCGCCGCCCTCACCGCAGTTGCCTTAACACAAAACTCCGGTGTGCTTGCTCTTGGATAATAACTAGCCTCAAATGGATGCCCTCCAGCAGCAAGCGCAATAGCCTCCAAAACAGCCTCTGGCCTCACTTTCCCCGTCCCTTTCGAATTCCCGTTTCGCATCATTTTATTACTATCATCCTCCCTCAAGAAAGCCGAAAACCCTCCATAAGAACTAACACAGCTTCCATTCTCACGCTTGGCTCGCCTAATCCCAACACAAAGCTCGCCATTTTCGGTTCTCAGGAACACGATCGAGTCTCCGGCGACAAGTTTTTTCTGGTTTACAAAGGTGCTCCAACCAGTAGTCAACAAATGTCTCTTAGGAGTTCCCCTATAAATATGCCTAAACTTCCAAATTTCACCATGAACGTCCCTGGCTATAACAGTTTGAACCGGAGGATCCGCGGTATAATCCAATCTAGGAAAAATGGTTTCAGCACAATATCTCGGAACCGAAAAGCCACCCCCATTGTTTGCATCAGATTGAGTCAATGTCTTGGCAAAAGAAGCAGGCTTTTCCACCGTGTTAGAGCCATTACTTAAAAGGGCATCACCTTCAAGATCAAGCTCACTGTTTGGCAGTGGTATAAGCATGATCTTGGCATATACTTCATCAGTTTCAGCATCGGCCAGGAATTTGACATCAGCCACTCGGCAAAGAACGAGAGGCGGTATTTGAGGAGACGATGAGAAATCGACGAAAGAGAGAGAGTGCTCGGCATGGCCTTGAGGAAAGTAAAAGACTTTGGAGTTCACTTGTGGGATTTGAACCATGGATCCAGCACAGGCATGCCATAGCTGCGGATCCAAGCTCTTTTCTAGGTCTTTCATTCTCTTTAGGTCTTGGGTTCTTTGGGGATAAAAAGAAAAAAGCTGTGAAGATTTGGAATTATACAACTTTCAGAGTTTAATGCTGTGAACTACCCAAGAATCTGATATAAATTTAAGTGAGGAATATGAAAGGAAGAAGTTGAAATGCAACAATAACTGAAAAAAGTGAAACCAGTTCATTAAATTTAGGACATTAATTAAGAATCTACTGCCTTTTTGGCTGAAATAAACCAAGAAAGAAACAACTCCTCCTATCACACTTTCATGTTTCCCCATAAAAACACCATTTTAATGCAAACGATTTCTTTCCCCCCCCCCTCTGGTGACGATTAAACAGTACAAAGAAAAAATGACAGGCAATTAAGACAGATAAACGCTTTGAAATTAAACCCAAAAAAAGGAAGAAAAAGAAGAAGATTTGCTTTAATATTGCTACTAGAAAAATGATAAAAGCCTATTTACTTCAATTTAAAACTTGAAAAATTTGCAGGTTTTTGAAACTGGGATTGGTATATTTTTCACAGAAAGGAGATGGGAAAGAACATTAATCTCTTGTAAAACTCCATAGCCAAAACTCAAAGATCTTTATTTTTTCCCCATCAAAACTAAAATCTCTCCCTTTAAAGAACAATAACAGAACAAGCAATGAGTTCACAGATCAAACAAAAAAGTGTCTTTTTTTTTTTAACTCTGGTACAGTACATAGAAAACAGAGATCCCGTTTTGTCCAGTCCTGAAACAACCTGTACACAAAACCAACTAACTACGGTGGAATTAAGGATTAACTGTGGTTAAAATCACAGTTAAACATTAGCCCATTGGATTGGAACTGAACTGACCATTTCCCTGCTCTGTTTTCTCAGCCTGTTTTCCTTCTTGGCGCGTGATTCAACAGCAATCATCGAATTAGTGGGAAGTGGTTCCCACTCTCCTTAAGGAATGTGGGGGAAGATTCTTTAGTGGGGATTTTGCGATCTTTTGGTCGGATGCGACGAGGAAATAGAGGATAGTTACATGGCGGTGACACACTAACGAACGCCATAGGCTGATTTGTTTTAATATGCAAATCTTTTTAAAAGAATTAAAATTGAATTAATTTATACGTGTGTTTTTTTAATCTCAAAATAAAATAAAATATTTTATATTTATTTAATTGCATAACTTCATATTATATTAAATTTTAAATTGATCTTTGTAACTAGGCCCTTAGATTAAAGCAAGTTTAATGGATCATAGGATTCTCATACTTTTAAAAGAAAAATAACACGAGCCTGAATTTATTTTCATACAAGGTAAAAGCATGGAGCTGTCGTGGATGAGCAATTGGAATTTGTTCATGTGTACCGGGAAGGGAATATGGTCGCGAACGGTATGGCAAGGTTAGCTTGGAGTCTCCCCTTTGGTTTTCGAACTTTCAGGTCTCCCCCAACAGATCTTATATCTGTTTATCAAGCTGAGAAGCAGGCATGGCTGGAGTTTTAAATTAGGCTTACTTGCTTTCTCAACTCATTCGAACAAAAAGAATGATATCATATTATGATTTACATGGCGTATGAGAAAAACGGATTGCTAATCATAAATTTTGATTTTTTTTATGTGTACATACATTAAGAAAATTAAGTTGTTTTAAAATGTTTTAGATTTTGACTAGAGTTTCAAATATCCAGGTTTTAGTTATAAACCGGTGAATTTTTATAAGCATTTCACTTCATTCCGTATTAAATTTGTTTTAAAAGTAGTTCATGATAGATTTTATTCTCAATACATTCTATTAAAGCTAGCAAATACATTATTAATTGCAATAATAGATAATTCTTTTCATTATTTCTCATATATTAAGTTGAAATACTTTTTTATTTTTTTATTTGAAAGAGGGTACTTTGTATTAAGAATAACAAAGTAAACCATCTTAAGGACCTCATTTAAAAAACCTCCCTAATCCTAAATGGAGAAAAAAGAGTGTACCTAAGGGTGGTGAAGAACAAATATACATAACACTTTTACATGATTCAGACCGTAGCCCCGCCCGAACACACTAAGCAACATACACAAATAGCAAAAGCAATGGTATGAAACTACGGGCACTACTAAAGACCATGTTAAACCCCACTGAACTAAACTTGGAGCGAACCATTAATTATAGATTTGTTTTTTTATTTAACAAAAGTGGGAGCACCACTCAAGGCTCCCACCCAACTAGCACCACGACAACTCCACCCATGCTCCACTTACTCACCACACCACACCCTGCTCCACAATAACACCCATACCATACTGACCCTAATCCATTAAAAACCTTGAAACTCGAATAAGAATTTACAATCACCTGACAACCTCCTTATTTTCACCAAAAGAAGCAACATGCATGTGCCTGCATGTCAGATCACCATCTCCGACATCCTCCTTGATTCCCAAATCAAGCTTACCCAGGAGCTCATAGAGCTCCAAACTTTGAATCACCACCTATCGTAGCTAAGAAAACACCGCCCGATGACTCACCCACACAAAACGTTACCACCGCTTCATTTTTTAACTTCGATCGATCAATAGAGTTCGCTCTCGCAGAAAAACCACAACTAATTGAAAAACTGCTTCAGCTCAACTATTAACCACGACCAAAACCTCAAGACCAAAGCCTTAAACCACCACAAGGTCCCCAAACCCTTGACAGACACTCACTAACCTCAAACAAATCTAGAGATGCTAAATCCTTGAGAACAGCTCTATCAGAATCAACATCATTTATGGATCCAAACCCAATGCCTAACGACTCATCTTCTATGTAAAAACACACTCAGAACCTTACCATAGGCTAGTAGGACTGCCAGATAATACAACTCCCAAATTGCATAAGCTACCAAAAGTCTCGAGCAGGACATAAACAAAAACTAGAGAACTAATACAAATGAAACTTACCCAGCTGCCCCAATACATCTCTTGCAAGAAAAGCAATATACTAAAATCACACCTCACCCAAACCATGGAAACAACAACACAAACTCTGCCTCCCCATTTCAATGCCCAACAACATGAGTAGGAAGCACACATCGCCTAGCTCCCCAAAGCATTACACGAACGCAGAATCAGCCTTAGGTCATCATTTATAAGCCATAATATAAACCTCAAACCAAAACCTATAATCTCCCACAACCCCTGATAGACACGCACCTAACCCAAACAATTATGCAATCGCTGAAACTATGAGAACAACACTATCAGAATCAAACTCTTTAACGAATCCAAACCTCAAACCTACTCGACTCCTCTTCTTTGGAAAGAATACACACAGAACCTCGCCATAGCAACCCACAATCTGCCATAAACCTTACCAATGAAATAGATTGGTAGGTTATCCACAAACACAGAAGCAATACTGAAGGAAGACCTGAAGCACTCATCCTCATAATGTACTTATCAAACAAGCGAAAGACAGGTTCACTTTGGCTTTAACATAAACATCATGCGAGTAGATATAACTATCGCAATCTGACTCCATAAACTGACTAGAAACCCTCGCAATATCTCAAAAACTTTAAAACAAATGACAAGAGTAACCCAAAGACTCAAGCACAAAACAACAATCGAATATGAATAGGAATAGAATCATAGCTAGAAGAGAGAGAATCGACCTCACCAAGCAAGAAGAGAACACCCAAACAAACGAGAATAAAAAATGGGTACGAAAGCCAACGAACCTTAAATCCAAATACACCAGAGCAGGGTCGACCAAACCCTTGTTCAAAGAACATGAAAAAGGTTTAACATCACTGTGTTGGACTTTTGAGATCTTGGGAGAATCGGTCGAAGGGAAGAAAAAAGTAGTAAGAAGCAAGAACGGTGGTGGAGGCGACAACCGCCTCGCCGGAGAAAAACTCAAGAAACTAAAATAGAGAGAGGAATACTTTTTTAATTAACTACTTGTAACTAATGTGTTGATTGATTAATTCAGATCGGGTTCTGCAAAGGTTCAATATAGAGACGACCCTCCCAACCCAGTTTGTCCCATTCGCAATCGTTAGGATTCAGACTTATGAGCTTATTTAAGAAATATAATACTTCATCCCACTATAGATCAATTCATTATTGGTAAATCAAAATATTTCCATGACAAAGAAAACTTGTCATGAAAACTAGGGGTGCAAACGAGCCGAGTTGAGCTCGATTCAAAAATTTTAAAATAGAGCTCGATTCGGCTCGAAAACTTACGAGCCTAAAATTTTCAAGCACGACTCGAACTCAAAATCACGAATTGAAGCTCGAAAAAGCTTTAAATAAAAAAAATCTTAAACTTAACTCGGTTGAAATTCAAACTCGAACATGAACCTTAAGTATATGAAAACTTTTTATTGTATTTTAAAACAATCAACACATAAATACTAATATTATTAATAATTTGTTTTTTTAATTTTAATATATTATTTTTTCGAGCTACTCGCGAGTTTTTCGAGTCAAGTATCAAGTAGTTCGTTTTGACTCGTTAAGAACTAGAGTGAGTTCATTCGAGTCAAGTATTTATCGAACTTTGATCGAATCAAATTCGAGTAACTCACGACCTGTCTTGTCTCATTTACAACCCTAATGAAAACACTAATTAATTAATTAGGGGACTTAAAAACATAGTTAAATTATGTTGATCCCAGCATTAAATTTACAAGCTAAAATTAATCTTAAAAGTGAATAATGATTAAGAATTCCGTATAACATATAGTATTTAACCTTGCTTTAAGATAACTACTTTCAAATACACAAAAGCTTCAATTGAAAGCATAAGTATTCGGTTAACATTATACTAAGAATAATTCTTAAGAGTTGGTGGAATCTCTAACCTTAATCAGACAAAAGTACTAAGGGGCAAAAATGGAAGAGAAATGGGATGAAACCCATGCATTTCAAACAAACCAGCAAACACACCGAAGAAAGAACAAATGGAAAGGTGTTGGTGAAGAGAGGACATCAAAACCGACAATGGGACATGAAGGAAGCCATGTAGATAAATCCAGACAACATGAAATTGTTATCAAAGCAATGCTAAAACATGGCCTCGATAAGGTAAGAAGGAAAGCCCAAAACAGATGAGGAATCGAAGAGTAGTTGGTGTCAGAAATTGACCGATTGGTGGAGACACTCATTCTTCTGAAAATTTAAAATTATAATATATTTTAGATTTTTTTTAATATTTTTTCTATTAAAATTCTATTTTTACTCCATAAAATTTTATAAATTTATCCTCTCTTACAATTTTAGAAATTCGTCTCCTAACATTAAACTCCGAGGTTGGTGTAGTGAAGAATCAAAAGTTGATACTCAGAACAACTGATTCAATTACTAAAATTTGTCTCAACGTACAACAATATATGGGTCGGTTTTTAACATATTCTTATCTTTATGAATTAACTGTGATCAAACATATTTACAAATTATGATGTAAATTTTAAATTATTTTCCAAATTTAAATTGTTTTAATTAGAATCTTAATAAATTAATATTATATCAATTCAATCATTCCGTCAGTTTATCCGTAAATTTTAATTTACCATGGATGCCAAATTAGATTTAATGTCAAGTATTTTTAAAATGTGGATCAAAAGTTAAAAAATGAGCCTACTACATGAGTAGCATGACTTGATGTGTTGAAAAAACATATCATCTTAGATTTTAATATTTTTTCAACAAGTTAAATTCAAATTATTCGTATAAAAATCAGAGTTTTAAATATATATAGTTAAATTTAAACTAATATTTAATATTTAAATTAATAATTAGACTGGTCAAATTATCTAATTATAAACTTATGAATATTTTAAAATCTAGTCATAGATTAAAAAAGCAAATTGCAATTAATCATATTTGTTGCGTTTGCGATTGCCAAAGTTCAAAATAACTTTGTGTTATGGACTCAAAAGGATGGTACATTTTAACTCATTTTATCACTTCTCGTGGCCTCATTTTCGATATCTACAAGCACATAACATCAGTATGAAATAATAGTTATAATAAAGTATTTCGAGGGTCAAATTTATATGGAAAACAAACTATGTATGAACTAATTAATGATTCGACATACATTAATTAACTAAACTACTAACGCACTGTAATATTTAACATAAAGTGAAGAAAAATAATGATTCGGTATTCTATAGACTAAGAATGTGTGAATAAATAAAGAGTGCACTTAATTTTTTTAATAATATCGTAGTGGTCAAGATCTGATGTGCGGTAACTAAATAGGATGAAAAGTAGGGCTGAGTAACGCAACTAAGAAAACTGAAAAATCTATCCAAACCGAGCTATGGGTTCAATTCGGTTCGTTTTTTCAATTTGCGATTTAGTTTCAGTTCGATTTAAAAATAAAATTTTACAATTTAGTTCGATTTCAATTTTTCATATGAAAACCGTTTGTTCCAAATCAAACAAAATTTAAAAAGAAAAAAAATAATTATCCAGAATAAATTCATTTTGAATTTATTACAAGACAAAGTTAAATAAATAAAATCTTAAAATGAATAATATTTTTTTTATGAATTTAACTTGTATATTTGCACTCGTTTTAAGTTTGTTTTCTTTGGATGTTGAGTTTAAAGAATAGTGAACAATCAAAAACAACAAAACCCAATTAAAACAAATCGGACCGAAAACCATAGTTTTTATGTCATTCGATTTCGATTTCAAATTTTAGAAAATCGTAAAATGCGGTTCGATTCATCTTTTATTGAAAACCCGATTCAAACAGAACCGAATACACCTCTAATGAAATGTAATACAACTTATAATTAACATGCAATATTTACCTAAGAATATAAAATAAAAACCCTACTCTTAGAGCATGCAAATATAACTCTTATTAGGGAGTTATCATACCCCTAAATCTAAGTGTTTGCTTGTCTTCAAGTAAAATATCTACCTATATACCAATCAATACAATATATCAACCACAGTCTCGTCAGTTCAATAAGCATTTAGATCAAAAATGAAAAACATTTTTCATTTCTCGACATGCCTATATAACATTGGATACATTCTGAAGTATTTGACAAAGGTCAGTTAGGTACACAAAAATTATACAGAAACAAGTAGTTGAATTGTGACAGTGTGTGCGCTTCAAAGATTATTAGCTTTCAAGTAATTAAGCTCGATATCATTTCCACTTAGATTTGTGTTGCATGCTTTGCATTTAACACAGTTCTTTTCCCTATATACAATTTTAGGAAGGGTTGTCTTTGCCTACTTTTTAAGGTTTTACCACGATCAAACCCTTTTTAGCACTCATGTAAATAAAGGAGTGACCTTTCAAGCTCATACATATATATATATATATATGATCTTCAATTTAAAAGCTCCAAAACTTGTATGAAGATGATGCTATAAATGGAATGTTAGAACCTGTTTGTTCTTATATAGATACGATTTTAGAATTTAAGATGTTGAATAGATGAAGCCATGTACTTGGTTGCTATAGTCATTTCCATTATTTTGTCCAAGCGTTATGGTTTTCCTTTCGGTTACATCTCTAGATATTAGTCTATTTGTCATAGATTGGCTTGTGAAAAAAGAAATATCGTGGCTTAACTATTAACTCAAATTATAATTAGCTAGCATTTTTCGTTAAAGAAATGTAAATTTTATGAAATTGTATAATTTAGTGCTCACAATGTTAGCAACCTCTTTGATTTATGGTTTAGGGTTTAAGATTTAAGGAGTTAACCTTAGCTTTTACTTTTCCTTATCTAACGGTCCTAAAATGGTGTAAAACTCTCAATTTTACACCAAGCATAATTGGATCTTGCCTATTTATATATTCGTGTTAGTATTAATATTTTTTGTAATGACAAATATAAATTGTTATAAATGTCAATTTTTAATAAAATAGATGTCAATTTATATTAATTTGTTATTAATTACCAAAAGTATTAATACAATATATATATATATATATATATATATATATATAAAGGCTATGTAGATCTTAATGTTATTCAAAAAGCTTACCAACATATTGGGCACTAAATATACTATTTTATAAAATTATATGTTTTATTTCATAAAGTTTAGCTACTATGCTAGTTAATTACAATTTAACTTAACAACAAGTATGGACGGAGAATTTTATATCAAAATGGGGGTGGGCTTTTAAAATTTTAGGAAGTGAAAATATATTTTCAATAAAAAATAAATAGAAAAATATAAAATAAATAATAATTTTAAATTTTTAAGAGGGGCGACTGCCCCCACCTACCTCCCCCTCGATCCACTCCTACTTATAGTTAAACCAAGATATTGTCTATATCTACATAAACTCAAAATATTAAACGCCAAAATAAATACCGTATATATTCAGTGGTAGCGTGTATAACCCTAGCGTCTTTTCTTCTCTCCCCTATAACCGCCGCTTCTTTTCTTTTCATGTGGTTTCACATGCGACGACACCAACCTTATTACTGGTCGCCGATCGGTTGTATTCTTTGTTTCTCATTTACTTTTTTATATGCATATTTACATTTTTGTGTTTTTTCTTAGTTTCTAATAATTTTGTCTTTATAACATATTTTTTTTGTCTTTATGACACGTTTTCTCCTGCCTTCACGGCTTCGATTGTTTGACCCTTTTTAGGGTTGTATTTGATGTATTCTCAACTGATAAGATGGCGCGTATTTGTTATCCCGTTTATCTTTCATGATTTGGACCATCGGATTAGACTTGGATATGTGGTTTGCGTCCAAAGATAATTTTCTGACGACGTTAGATTCTGATTTGTGGTTGTCGGTGGTTTTTCAATAGTTTAATCCCCTGTTGTGATTCGTTTGTCGATGTAGTCAGGTTTGTTCGTATCTGTCATTAAATTGAGTTTCTTGGATGGGTTTTAACTTTTTTCTTCTATGGTCCTTGAATGATCTCGAGTAGCTAGCTTATTACATCAACGATTATACGAAAATATTCTGATTATCTTTCATTTGTTCGTATCTGACGACACACTATTCTGATATGTGGTTGTCGGTGGTCTTTCAGTAGTTTAATCCCCCTTTGTAGTTCGCTTGCCAATGCAATTAGATTTGTTCATATATGTCATTTAATCGTGTTTCTTGGATGAGTTTTAATTTTTCCTTCTATGTTCTAAATGTGTTTAATTTTCAAATTTTATTATAATTTTAAATATTTTCTATTTTCAATAAAATTAACAACTCCATTTGCATAAAAAAATATAGCATAAATTCACGTGCATACATTTACCCAAAAATAATGCTAATTAATGCCAGCCAACAATCATGCATTTAATTATCCAAAAAAATTATAAAATTATCCAAAAAAAAAACAATCATGCATTTATTCTTACACAATCATTGTTATATACCATTACCAAAAATATAGTATTAAATTACTATTAATATGAATTAAATATACAGCTATAATATATAACATTATTATTTGATATTATTATATGATTGCTATATATATATACTGATATAATTTTATGGCCAAATTAACCATATATTTATATGAAACTTTAATTACTAAAAAAAATTTAAACAATTCATTTAATTGAATTCTTCTCTGTATGGCATTTACAACTTTAATATATGTATATATATACACTAAAACGTTTATTAAGATTTATTGCCTTATATAATACATTATGTTTTCTGTCATTACCAAATATATTATACAATTCATATAAATAAATAAATTTATTTCTTATTACCAAAAATATAGTATTAAATGATACCAATTTAAGTGAATATATTATGTAACAATTATTACTCTGATTCATAAATAACTAATTTGAGCAGATTTTCATGTTCATGCATTTCTTCACAAAGTGGATTTGAATACTCCATAATCTTTTAATGATAAGAACAAATTCCTTCAGGTCTATAAATAGCACAAATTAGCTGTTTGGGTAAGAAATACATAAGATAGAAAAAAAGGCTAAGAATCCCTTTGATTTGCGAGCCATGACCAGAAAGAAAGTGAATCTTGTTTATATTACCGACGATGCAACAAGGAAAGCTTCCTACAAGAAAAGAAAAAAGGGTTTAATGAAGAAAGTGAGTGAACTGAGTACACTGTGTGGGGTCGATGCTTGTGCTATTATGTATAGCCCTTATGAGCCTCAACCCGAGGTTTGGCCATCCCCCATGGGAGTCCAACAAGTGCTGGCCAAGTTCAGGCAGATCCCCGAGATGGAACAAAGTAAGAAGAAGGTGAACCAAGAGAGTTTCCTTATCCAAAGGATCACCAAAGCCAATGAACAACTCAAGAAACAGTGTAGGATCAATCGGGAAAAGGAGATGACCCATCTCATGTTCCAAAACCTCATGGGCAATGCCAGCATCGAAGGTTTAAATATGATGGACTTGAATGATCTCGGGTGGTTGATCGATCAGAAGCTGAAGGAGATCGAAAAGAGGATTGATACACTTAGCCAAACATCCCATGATCCCCAAGGTTCATCCTCATCCGTGGCTGCAACACCATCGATGATGTCCGAAGCAATGCCGAGGACAAGTCTCGGGGACAGCGTGCAAACGGAGGCGAACAACATGTATTCGATGGAGGGTCAACACTGGACTATGGAGCTGATGAATAATAATCCACAAAGTTATGTGGGATTTGGTGACGATGAAATGGTGTTCCCATTTGGGGATAACATTAATGTCAACAATAATGCATTTTTCGCATGAATGATCTGTTTGGTTCTACCATGGCGAGGTCTAAGGTGATGGTGTCTGCAGGTCTTTATCACAATAACTCCCCCTAGTTGAAGTCTTTTAGTATTTACAGTTTGAATTTTGCTTATGTATTTTCTTGGTTGCCTGTGGTCTGTCTTAGTTGGCTTTCATCTGTTGTGTTGTGTACCCGTACTTTTGAATTTAGTTTTCTTTCTGGGGCTCCTGTCATGGGCACTCTGGTGTAATGTTTATCTTTTATTTTAATAAAGGGGACATAAAAAAATTGGATTAATAGTTTCTCATACCTCTAAACTTTTCTAAAAAAATCAAGAGGACCCTCGAACTATTTTTTGTGCTTAATGTGATCTTTAAACTAAAAAAATATGATCATTTGACCAACGAATTTTGTTATTGATCTTTACAATATTAACGTGACAGTTTACGGTGCTATATGATACTTCACAGTAATTGATGATAGATAAAATAAATTGATTTTTTTTGTCGAGTTTGTGTGTTAAATTGGTTTGTTTTTTAAAGTTCAAAGGCTTATTTAATTATTTTAAAATAAAATTATTTTAAATTTAAAATATCAAAATATTCAAAAAAAATAAAATATTAAAAATAAAAATTAATTATTAAACTAATTTTTTGAATAAAAGATAAGGGCAAAGTCATTACATTAGCGTCTTACACGAAGGTGAAGGTAAGGAGGGTCATGTGTGTCTCTGTAGAGAGGAGCCTGAATTTGGGGCGGAAAGGAGTTGAATAAAATCGGAGAGCCGTCTGGATGAGCATCCAATTTTACAATGAAATCAGTTGTCGTATTCATTTCGCGATAAAAAAATTTGAATTCAATAAACCAAGCTTTGTTGAAACCGGAGCTAGAGCATTTTCCGTGGATGGAGGGGAGAGCAAATGAAAAGCTTCAGTGCTGTCTGTTTGTATAACGAGTCGTTCGAATCCATCGCGGCATACAATTTTAAGTCCTTCGAGGATACCCTAGAGCTCTGCTTCAAAACAGAAGGTATCCGATGTTCCTGAAAAAAAGCTAACAAGCAATCGCCTGTAGAGTTGCGGAAGAGACCTCCGACGGAGCCTTGTCCTGTGGGTTGAGAGAGAGCACCATATGTGTTCAGACAAAGCCACCCATCTTTAAGTGGAAACCGTTGGGTTTGTATAGAGCCTTGAATGGTAGGTTTTTCTGGTTGCACAACCGAACCAGCGTAATACATGGTCCATGATATGCTTGTGTGCAGCAGCGCCGTGATGTCGGCTGTGAGTCCTTGGAAGACATGAGTGTTTCGTCTTTTTCATTATTGTCAAATCAAGGAAGCAAAAAAAGTATTCCATGTGCCATTGGTCTCGCTACATGTGAAATGAGCTTGTATGTTTTGTAGGAGCCAAGATTCAAGAGGGAGTTCGAAGGAGTTTAGGCCATATCTTGTTACTAACACACTCCAAAGGTGTCGAACGGAGGGGGAATCGCGGAGAATTTATAAAAGAGTTTCATTTGGTTTGTGGCAAATCGGACAAGATGAGTCAATCCCAATGTTCCTTGCTCATCGAACTTGATTTGTGAGAAGTTTGTCTTGGACTGCTAGCCACAGGAATTCACGGATACACAGGAATATTTTGCTTCCAAATTACAAGCCATCGATTATCTTTGCTGCCCCAATTTATCTTTTCAAGGGAGGCATAGCTTCACTAGAAGCACGACTTCACTAGATAGCGAAGGAAGGTTGTGTGTTTCCCAAGAGAATATGGAATAAAACACCTACAGATATATTCATTTAATACATATCCAATTCACGTTAATTCTCATTTAATCATATATTACGGTTATGATCGCGTTTATCGCGATTAGAAATATAACCAGCACCATTACGATAATTACGGGTATCACGATCATACAATAATGATTTCGGACGACAAAGCTATCACTATATAATAAACTCTATTAAGTAACGGACCATTATTTAAATCCTGGCATGTCCACTACTCAACCACCTACCCTTATGAGACAACATAATGAGGGCTCGAGGCCCACGCAAAACCAACTCCCACGTATAAATTTCCAAGGAAGGCAACAGCGAGTATAAGAAGAAACATTCCCCTCAATTACTTCCTTTACTCATTTTTCCCAGCAGCTCTTCGCAGCACCCTTTGGTGTGAACCATCATAGAAAACAATAGACCCAATAGCTCTTTACATCCCAACAACAGTGTGAATCAGCATAGGAACCATCCTAAACCATAGTTTTCTACAAGTTGTTAGTATGAATCAAAGGAGATTTAATGACGAAGATGTTTGTAATCCAAGCCTCGATTCACAAATAGAGTATACGTCAACCACAAATAGATGCAAAGGCGGAGGAAGTGGCAACAATGACGTACAAGAGTAAGAATGAAAGATTTTCAAGGGATTTCAGGTACCCGAGTATTTCTTGCACTGTAGAAATATCGATTTGTTTTTGTAAATTTTTACTTTGCGGTTAGGATCCATTTATACCTAGCTTAGTATTTTTTGTTTTATACTTTTTTTAAGATCGTTGGATGAGAAGAAATCAAATGTCAATATTAATTTATTATTTTTTCATTGAATATATTATCATTTTCTATTATTAATCTCAGTATTTGTTTTGCTTCATCTAACGACTATAAAAAATATATATATATAAAACTAATTAGATCATAGTCCTTTATTTTATTTTTCGTTCGTTATCACCTTCAGGTGATACTTGTGATTATGGTAAAAGAGTTTGTTCTCTAGTTAATGTTAGCTTGGATTTGCTAGTGATGATTACGAGGATCAAGTTTTGTATTGTTTGATATGGTCTTCAATTTAAAAGTTTTAAAACTTGTAATGAGATGATGCTATAAATGGAATGTTAGATTTTTATTTTTTTGCTTATATAGATAGGATTTAAGAATTTAAGATATTGAACATTTAATTGGTTGATATAGTTATTTCCATTTTTCATTCCAAATGTTATAATTTTCCTTTGGGTTGATACTAGATGTGAGTGTATTTGTGTATAGTTCAAGCTAGTGCTGTAAATGAGACGAGATAGATCGTGAGTTACTCGAGATCGACTCGGTCAAGGCTCGATAAATACTCGGATCGAATGGACTCGACTCGAACTCGATCTCGACTCGAATTCTTAACGAGCCGAAACGAGCTACTTGATACTCGACTCGAAAAGCTCGTGAGTAGCTCGAAAATATAATATATTATGATTTTATTTTTTTAAAAATAAATTATTAATAATATTAACATTTATGTGTTGATTTTTTTAAAAAAAAATACAATAAGACTTTCATGTATTTAAGGCTCAGGTTCGAGTTTGAGGATTCAATCTTGTTAAGTTTAAGAATTTTTTTCTTTATTTCGAGTATTTTCGAGCTGCTCACGAGCTTCAGTTCAAGATTTCGAGTTCGAGTCTCGCGAGTTTTCGAGTCGAGTCGAGTTTCATTTCAGAGTTTTCGAGTCGAGTCGAGCTCAGCAATACTCGAACTCGACTCGACTCGTTTACACCCCTAGTTCAAGCACATAATGACTTGGGAAATAAGCAATATCTTGGCCAAATCAGGAACGATCTAGCTCTATGTTGCGCCTCCCAGATCATGGCACTTATCTGGGAGTAGTTTGGTTGAGGTGAGGCTAGTTTTTCTGTCACTGTTCGAGAATCCCCTTCTAAGATTATTCAATTGAAGCCCAAATTAGCCGCCAATTGAAGTGCATGCCCCGCCGCCACTGCCTCTCCTGCAAAGGCTAACAAGATTCTTGAGGTTTGTCTTTTGCATGCCCCTATTTCATAGCCTTCATTATTCTTGATTATGACACCTGAGCAGCTCTTATTCTCGGTGATTTTATCCAAATATCAATCATATAGGTAATAATTATCTGTTAGGAATCATTTTTTCTAATATTACCGATTTAACAATCTAACAAGGCATAAATCACCATCCACGTCTTTAAGGGGTTTTGTTCGAGCTGACGACACATAAGAGAAGATATAGATCGTCATCCGCACCTTAACTGAACCTCTAACATATACGAAAGGCGCGGATCATAAAGCGCACCTTTCATAAGTTCATATCACCCTCAAAACATTTTAAAAAATATGCTTTAAAAAAATTTTAAAAATAAAACTATAGGAACTAACATTATAATTTAATACATATTAGTTCCATGAGTTGTAGAGATTAATTGGTTAGCTTATATAGGCATATTGGAGTGTTTAGGTTATGTGTCTTGACAATGTGAGATAAAAGTTAAAATGTGTATTTATTGACAATGTGTTTAGGTTATGTTTCATGAGTTACCTTTGATCGTTTTCATTACATTTTTATTTCAATTATATACATATAAATGTAATAAGAAATTGATAAATTATTATTTGTTTAATTTAAATTACCTTATATCAACCCAAAAAATAAAAGTGAAAAAATAATTTATTAATTACTTAGTATTAGATCATGTTACAACTATATCATCAATGCACATTGTGATATATATATCTTATATGCATTTTGATTTCGATAAATAGAGAGGAGTTAATTAAGAGCTTTAAAAGTGAGCATGAATCAATTTATTTCAATTGTTAAAAAAATCATTATTATTCTTAAAAATTACGAGTTTAAACACCAACGACTATAAAGATGATTGAGTATTCATTGTTAACCTCGTAATAATGCATGCATACTTCTGTTGAATGTAATAATGAAATATTAGTAAGCAAAAAGACAAACAAATATCCAAGTTAGAGGACAATGATGATAAATATAATAATCAGATTTGTTTATTATTTTTTTGCTAATATCAAAAGGGTTTATTTTCCAATGATAAGAAAATAGAAAATTTGATTGATTTGTCTTCTCTTATTCCCCACATAAATCTACATATATTATATAATCTTTTGGAAAGGAAAATAATAATAACATAAAAGGATTAGGATTGGCTAAATGACATCCACAAACAGTTTGTTATGAGTGATGTAATACGATTTATTC